AATTCAATATATTTTTTTCAACTTCCCGCTGCGAAAATGGAAAAATATTTCATAAAATTCGGTAGGTACTGTTTTCATTCCGATTCCTGAAAATCGAGTTATCACCAGACCTTGACGTTTTAGGATTCTAGGAATCTATTTCAACTATTTTCTGAGTGAAATCTGTATGCGTGTGCACATGCGTGCTCGCGTACGCGTGTGATTGAGTTTGAGTGTATGTGTGTAAATCTCTCATAGCTTTTGAACGGTTTGACAAATTGAAATGCATATTGTGACACTTAAAAGGAGTCCACTCAACTTGACCGTAAGACTTTTTAGTGAGTATTCTAATATTTATTTCGATCGATACCGAAATCTCAGATACCAGCTCTTTTTCTTAAACGGATGCATTGATTGCCGTCAATTGAATGAATATTGGTTGAATTATTCAAGAGATATAGTGGGAAATAAATTTAACAAAGTGTTTTTGAAGAATGCATTTTAAACTAATCTAGAGACAAATTCAGAAATCTAACCAACGGTTTTCTTTAAAAAACAATAATAACTTTTGCGAACTGCATAAAAAACGGTGGATTTGTTTAGAAAATATCCTTAACAAAAAATTCCAAAAAAAAGTATTTTTAATTTCAAAATAACATGTGAAATGATGTTTGGAACTGAGCTATCTCTTTCTGCTTATGAAACTGCGTCAAATACCGTAAAGAAGATTGAAACTAAATAGCGTCTTCGAAAGATATTGGTGATTGAAATATTTATATAATAGCGTTTTTAAACTTCTTGCTATTGAAAATTTTTATAAATTTTTTATATAGTTAGTTTTTGCATTTTCAAAAATAGCGTTTTTACCAGATCTTGACGTTTTAGGGTCCTAAGAATCTACTTCAAACATTCAATGAGTGATGTATGTATGTTACGTACACACAGGCATCACTCATAACATGTTTGTGTGCGTGTGCGCGAAAATTTTCAAAAAGTACTTTTTTAGAAAAATTTCCTAAACTACTGAAACAATAAATTTCAAAATTTAATTAGCTTTTCTGCTTATAAAGTAAGTTTTCTAAGCAAAAAACTCTTACTTTTAATAAATCGTATCAAAAATGGTTGATTTTTTCGAGAGATATTGTTAGCAAAAAATTAAAAAATAACAATTTATTCACAATAACTTCTGAAATTCCTGTTGAATTGGTATTTGGCATCATTCAACTTTCTTTGTTAAAGCAACTGCGTTCAATACCGTAAAGCAGATCATAATTGTACAACGTATATGATAAATATCTTAGTTTAAAAATTAAAGGTATCGTTTTATTTAAATAAATCTTAATATTCAAACGTATAGCGCTGAAAATATATTAAAATTATATTTTTGAGCTCGAAAAGCTAAAAAAAAGCATAAAAATCGATCTTTTGAGTTAAAATTCAATAACTTATTGGTAGCTATATTTTTGAACGCTTTTACCTTAAAACTAGCAGAATGTTTCTGGAGCAACCTATAAGAGTAACCGTTTTTCGAATTTGTGAGCTTGAAAGAGAAAAGTTTTTGAGCTTTGAGACAACTATGCCTTTGAACTCGAGACATTAAGTTGATGATTTTATGTCGATGTCGATGACGATGATCTATATTTTCGAGTAAAAACACTTAAAAATATCATAGGGAGAAGTTTTAGAGACCAACCTTTTTACAGATTTTTTTTTATCGATTGTTTCATAATTCCTGAAGTACGTGAGTACGTGACGGTATTTCGTGAATTTACGTGGGATTTGTTTTCAGAGGTGTAAGTGCCTTACTTATTGAATTTTTTTATAGATGGAAGACGATGTTGAAAACTTTATGTAGTAAGCTTTTTTATATGTTTCTTAGTGTATTTGAATGTTTATGCATGATAATATCCTCATTGTTCATGTAGTTGTCAACAAGTCCTTTATGAATAATAGAGTGACGTCATTTTGAAATGATTCGTATTTAAAGTTGCATTCCAATTTGTGTAAATCATGATTGAAATATTTATTATGAAAACAATGGCTTCAGAATAAATTGTTCATTAATGCAGTTTTCACGATTATTAATGTCGGACTAATAACATGATTTCTCATTATACTTTTGGTTCCAGCGCTTATTGAGTTTTTAGGATCTTAATACTGTTAATTATCTTCTATAGTTTATTACTATTATTGAAAATAATCAACACTTTTAATGTTTTAATTCACAAATTCATTTGAACACATTATTATTCACGAATAAACTATAAGTGTCAGTATAAGAAATTATCTAAATAACTTCACATTGACACATACATAAATATCAATTGTGTAGAATAGTATAGAGAAAAACGTTCAATAGTGGAATGAAAAGGAGAGCTCCAGAAAAATCGACAAGACGCAAAACCGGCCAAATGACACATCGCATCATTTCATCACAACGTTTTCACCCTCTATAATAACATCCCTAAAGATGTTTAAAATAAAAAAAAAATAGTACTAGAACTAGGTTACGGCCTAGATCATTTGAACATGGGGATGGCATGGCGAAGACAGAGGATGCTCGAGCCTGCGCAAGCTAATCAGCCAGGTGGGCAGCCTGCGCTGTTTTTTGTTCGGATTAACAGGCTAGCAATATATACAGCTAGCTCCGATTGCCGGCTTCTACCGATCTATAATTTAATTAAGTAGAAGCAGAAGTTATTGCATTCTAATTAATTTAAGACATACAAAGAAATCTTATTTAATAGTTTATTTTCGAAAGTAAGTTATCGAATGGTATAGTAAAACACAATGGTTTATAACGCGTAATACGGCCGCCTATGTTGTAGTATGCGCTCAGCCTATCGTATCGTTTACTGTACGAAGGTTCTTTGCATGATTGTTGCTGTGTTTCACGAATGAAAAAATAAATCATAATTTGATAATTTTTCTCAAACATAGTGAAAAGTGGATACTATTTATTAACTTTATTTAGTTTTATCTCATAACAATTAGTATCTGTACGACTGAATATTGTCTTTGAAATGTGCTTTGGAAATGTGATGAATTCTCGCGGGATTAGTTACTTAATTCATTTCCAATAATATACATTACGGAACTGAATTAAAGCAATTATATTGTTTGTGATAATTGTATGTTCTAAGTAATGTCCAAATTATGTTACAAAAGATGTTTCGAAGAACGTCTTTTTAGTCCTTTGCCTATTTTACATGAGCTTGGGTTGTAAAAACAAATTTGAGTTGGCTTGATTTAGGAAAGTTAGTTGTTGCTTAATTATACTTCAGTTTATTTTATTCACACCTGCACCGAAAGCAACAGCAATAATTTTCAAATTAAATGATATAAACAATGCTGGATCTTTCTAGAAGCTTATACTCTTATTTTAGACGTAGTGAACAGCGATGTTTGTAAAACAACACTTATTATTACATTCTAGAGCACTGCTACAGCGTTGAACTTCTATCACTATTTATATGATAACAATAATTAATATCTCAAAAACTTGTTTAAAATTAGATTTGAAATTTTTTTGACCGGATAGCGTCTTATAAATCGATGCACGCCGGCGGCACGTACGAAAAAGCATGACTCGTTGTCGCGTTCCACCTGAGCCGAGCGTGCGAGCGTGAGCGCGGAACAGAAAGGCACGATCAGCCTAAGCGTTGGGCTTGTGACGCATCTATCTCTATACTGTATAATTTAAGTAGAAAATATTTGAATTAACGAGTGCAAATAAATGCTGTCAAACGTCCAAATTAGCGCCACCGTCAACAGTCCATCAGTTTCCCGCGCTTTTTTCCGCAGTACGATGGGGCGCAAAGATTTTCATTTTTCGCATAGTTTGAATTAGTACTCTTATAGTTGTTATACATTTTAGGAAAGCAGATAAGATTTGCTAACTGGAAGAAAAAAAAACTAACTGAAAAAGGTGTGCAATAATAAAAAATGGAATGGTAAACTTAGAGAAGCTGTACCTTCCAAGAGTTTGCTCAAATACAAAGAAATAAAACCATATTTTTGTTCGTATTTGTATTTTCTCTATTCCTTAATAACTATTTTACAATAAGATGTAATAAAAAATCAACACTCCATATATTTTTTTTAAGAAACGCATGCGCACGCGAAGCAACCTCGAACGAGTATAGGAGTATGCAGGCCAGTAATGCCACAGCGCTTCAAACACAGAGTAAAAAAGTGGCTTGATTGATAAAGTTACAAGTTGGAAAAATAAATCAACCATAAACAATGTAAATTTTAAATAAACTGACCTCGGGGGTCAGAGTACGGCTGCCGTATCATAACCGATGAGAGTCGAACCGATGAGTCAAAACATTGACATTTTCAATTAACTCCTTCTTTGTATTATACAAAATAATGCCAATTCAATGATAATATTTCGATTCATAAAAGAATGCAATTTTCCATCAATGTTTTTTTATAACAATATCACGTAAAATTATCGTCCGTAAACCGACTTTACAGACAACCAATTTTTTTCTATTAAAGGAAGCAGTCGCTTTATTTTGTTTCTCAACTTCCTTAAAACATACGATTAGACTAAAAGTTTCATTCAATGGTTTATCATAAAAATGTGTGTGGAACTTCTCATTAAATACAATTAAGGAATTTGTCATAAACTCTATTTTGATGCAAACGAATTTTATATTAAAAATATATGTTTATTACGATACTAACTTATACTTGGGTAATTAATTGTTGACAATTACAACTATATGCAAACATCCGTAAGTTAAAGTTAAACATTCAAATTCTTGCGCTTGAAAACCTTCATTCTCATAATCCAGAAGAAAAAAGAAGGAGACAAATATATAGAGACGTGTTAGATGAAAATTTAGAATTTCACTGATAGTGAGAACAGGTAAACTTGCTGAAGTTCACTTCTTCAGAATCAATTCTATATAAGGTTTCTGTTATGGAAATTTGATGAAGAGTGAGATTCAACGCTAGCGTTAACCAAAAGCCTTATTAGAGTTTACTTCTTTTCTAACACTCCCTTCAAAGGCAGCGTGGCCGAACGGCCTAAGGCGCTAGTTTAAGGCACCGGCCTCTTAGAAGGCGTGGATTCAAATCCCACCGTTGCCAGACTTTTCTTTCATTTGACTAATTAAAAATATTTTCAATTAATTATTAACAATGACAATTACAAAGTAGATGTATATAAACACATCTCTTATGATATTGAAAGCATGTAGTATTTCTTTTATTTAATTGTTCTAATTAGTAATTGTCACTATTAACAATTAATATTAAGAATCAATATTAAAAGACATAAAAAATGCAATTATAATTAACTCATCCAATAAATAGGTGGTATCCGACCACAATACTAGATACTATATATCAAAGGAAAAGTATTGAGATTAGTACAATTATTAACATTAGAGATTTATTTGGATCTTGCTTCTAATTTAACCCTGGGGACGACTAGGTATGGTACAACCATTGATACAATGTTTTAACTATTCGTAAGTCACGTACCTACCGACATTCACGTATCGCATTTTGGTTACCACAAACCTTTTGTCACAATGATTAATAACGAGAGTATTGATTTAATTAAAGTTCAAAGTGAAATAAGTCAATCTTCCTAATAATGTATTCACGTATCATAAGTGTATATATTTATGTAAAAAGATTGATTTATATAATTTTTCCGAATCAATATAATAAAATGTGAATAGAAAAAATTATATAGTATAAATGTTTTCAGTAATGTAATGGATGTGTTTGAATATCCTCTTTGCTCATCGCATAATCAAAGGCAATCGTACTTAAGGATTAAACTCTAGTCGTGCGTCGGAACTGACAATCACACACTTTTTTTAAATTATCTTATACAAATAATGTTCTAGGATATAAAGTTATCAATTGCATTTAATTATTTTCATTTCATCTAATACAAAGTATTCAGAAATTCCCGTGCATTAATGTACTTGACTACAGCATAAGATTGTTGCCTAAATTGTCATTTTCTAAAAACTACGCAATGATGTGTTTGGTTTCTGTTAGTTGATATTATACAGTGTTCTTCTCATCATGCTGGTTACAATATTATCTGATTTGAACTGACTAGTTCAATCAATGTGTCAAATCATGAGTCCACAATCAGCAATACCTAAAATACATATTTTCTCCGAAGTATCGTACAAATAAATATACAAATTTATTGACACATAAATATACTATACGTAACTACGTGAGATTGAATAGAAGTTCATAAAGATATCGGTATGAAATATAAAGAAAAATATAAACGCCTCATAATGGTGACGCAGATAAAAAGTTTGATAATATTGCGAACTCCTAAAAGACTCTCGCAAATTTATTATTAATTTCCTGGAAAAAGGCTCACAAAACATTATCGTACTGTTTCCATGGAATTTTAACCATCAAATTTGAGTTTATGCAAAGTGTTCTAAATGACTTAACTCCTTAAGTTTACTGCAATCCTTCTTACCTTATAGCGATGGGCAAAAAAGTAAGAAACAAAGTAAGGACATACTTATTATTTCTTGCTTCAAACTTGCTCTTGGTAATTGTCGTTTTCGCAAATTTTCTCCAGTTTTATTTAACTTTACCGAAAATTTAATTTAAGGCATGGAAAATATTTGAATTGTTCTCAATGCAGGAAAGTTTTCTTAATGATTGTGGTGTGCTGTGACGACTTGAATAGGTACTGTATTATTTTTGGTGAGGTTGGGGATAATGTTTGACAAAATAAAACGAGTTTTTATTATTTCAAAGCAGAACCTTTCCGTTTCAAATAGATGCAAGGGAATTGATATATCCGAATTATATTTTTATGTTACGTATAACTAGTAACTTATACCATCAGCTTCAAGTAGACTATGATAGGTACATTTAATCAGTATTAGTGTGGGACCGACTTCAATTATTAACTACAAATAATAATTTTTGACAACATTTTCCAATACAATCTTCCAAATGATTTGTAAAACATTTTTGGATTTGAAATACTATTTTCTTTCTGGCTACAACTACACGCTGTTTACGCAAAGACGTCTTGGAAATTGAGCAATTTTCAACGGCCAAGGTGTCAATTTGGACGCAGTGGACTACAGGTCATAGCCCACTTACACGACTCTGCTCCTACCCGGCAAAAGAATATAATTCAAATATGGACTTTAAACATAGCTCTTTAGATCAATTTTACATTGTCATCATAAATTAGCAGACAGCTCGCTGTAAGCGAGCTTATTGTCGTCAGACTGCTAGGCAGTTGACGCCTCGCTGGCCGCACGTTCTAGACGAGCAGTCGGCGCGCGCGCTCACTGCTAGCTAGCAGGAGCCGACTCGCCGCCGCGCCGACTTGCGCTCGTGGCGCGACCCTCCCGCCCGCGCCGCCATCGCCCGCCGCTCAGTCGGTCAGTATCTACCAAGCAATCCGCACGCTCGATTTCTTCCCGAGTGTTTTCGCAGGTATTGAACATATTCATTATGAACAAAGAAAAACTTATAGAAGAAGTGCGAAGATATCCCTATCTGTATGATACCAGTGACGCAAAATACTCAGATTCTATCAAAAGGGATCAAACATGGAAATCTATTGCTAGAACGTTGTCTGCAACAGGTATGTACCTACCTATCTACGTATAATCTATACTATTTGAAAAACGTGGTGGAGGTAAAATGGTATTTTTTAATGTTTCATTTTTTTTAAACATTTTTGCTCCATAACCTTAAAATTATGATACCGTAAATTTAGTTTTCGAAATACTTATTTGTCAGTCTCTCTCTCTCTCTGTCCGTCTGTCTTGATATGTCGTCTGAATTGATAAAACTAAAGTAGGTACATGTTGAAATAATTACTTTTGCTGTAGTCTAAGTATAAGATATTTATTTTTCATAAAACAAAATATATTTTTAAAATGAAGGATAAAAGTTGATCTTAGTTTTTTCCTCGTTATTAAATATTTTGATGCAGCCATGAAACTTGACCTTCAAGAGATTGAAAGTAAGATGAAAACAAATCTCGAATATTAAAAGCATTTTCTGCACTGTTTATTCCGTTTTCTAGTATTGGTTGCAGGAAAACATTCACGTTGTAATTTATTGGTTGCTGCATCTCATGTTGATTTAGATACTCTATTTCATAACTTCGCATAATATTATGTAAGATACATGTCGCTAGTATCAATGTGTCAACGTGTATCAGGTTCACGTTAATACTTTTGTTATAAATTCCAAATTTCTGGTACAATATTCCAAATGCATCTTCCACAACTTTGCGTGCTCGTGATAAACGTTCATTGAATATAGTTTGTGCCTCATATAAGCCACGACAACGAGGGTATGGCCTCATTAAATTTTTCATTAGAGGAAACGCCTCATCTCCTATAAAAACATGTGGTATATGTCTGTCACTTCCAGGTAGTGGTTTATCGTTTGGAATATCTAATGAATTATTTTCAAGACGTCTCGCTAATTTCGAAGATGCAAATATTCCTCCGTCACTATTTCTACCAAAAGCACCTATATCAACTATTATAAATCTATATTTATCATCAACCACAGCCATTAGGACAACAGAAAAGTGCTTTTTATAATTAAAATACAGCGAGCCACTATTAGCAGGTGCTATGATGTTGACATGCTTCCCATCTATAGCACCGATGCAATTTGGAAAATTCCATCTGTCTTGAAATCCTTGAGCTATACTTTTCCACCGCTCTTCACTTGGCGTTGGAATGAAAATTCCCATTAATTTGTTTATAATTGCGTTACATACTTCTTGTATAATTGATCGGATGGTTGTTTCGCCTAATCTAAAGCTTGAACTCAACGTCCTTGCTGAACTTCCCATGATCATGTATCTGAAACAAAACTTTCTCTATTAATATTTCTAAGCAAAAATAAACACACCTTAGCACACAGACACCTCTTCACTTCGATTTTTTTTTTCAGAATCAGAGTACAAGAAAACATGTGCAAACTTAAGAGAAAACTATAGAAGAGCAGTTGTTAAGAAACGCACAAAAAGTGGTCAGGCTGCTACCTCATCAAAAAATTGGCAATTTGAAGAAGAGATGTCTTTTTTGTTGCCGCATATGAAACAAAGAAAAACAATTTCATCATTGACGGAAGATGATAGTGAAGTTGACGAAAATTTTGACTTTAACGAATTGTTGTCAAATCACGATGATTCTCCCATGTCATCGAATGACCCAGCACACAACACACAACTTATTATCACCAACCGACCAGAATCTTCATCAACAAATACCTCATCAAACTCTCCTATATTTCCGAACATACCTAAAAGAAAGCGATTCAAAGGGACCCAAGAAAGTACCTCAGCATCAGCTCAACTTTTACAATATTTACTTAAATAAAAAGAGACAAATAAGGATGATGAGATTGACAAGTTTTTTTCGAGCATTGCAACAACAGTAAAATAAATATAGTTTAAAAAAACTAAAAAACACGCTTTTAAAATACATTAAACTAAAAAGTGAAAAATAATCCTTAATATGAATTCAAAAAATAATGAACAATGACGAAAATACTAGTATTATAGTGGAAAAGCGTGGGGCGCTTTGTGCCACATTTTTCGTATATGGAGCAACCCACGCTTTTACATACAACCCAAGATTATATTAATCCTGGCGGTCCTAATAAGGATAATGGGAAACTGTTATCAAATTATTGTATTGTCATCGGTCCTTGAGATGTGTGCAAAGTTTCAAGTTGATCAGACTTCTAGAAATCGATGAAAATTAAGCTCAAAGATTCCGTTACATAGTTAGTTAGTTAATTAGATACAACCCAAGCTTATAAAAGCGTGTTAAAAATTAAACCGTTACAGCCAATCTGTTCTGAAGTCTATAATATTCAACATGGTGTCTGAATTTGAATTACAAGAAATCCAGGAACAAACTAATTTCTGGTTCTTCACGACACAATACTGACATTGAAAGTCCTTCGGGTTATAACACCCACCATACAGGACCTTCTGGTTGTAACACCCACAATACAGGACCTTCGAGTTATAACACCCACAATATAGAATCTTCGGATTATAACATCCATAATGCAGTCCCTTCTGGCTATAGTACCCAAAA